TCCACGCACAGAGATTTTAAGAGTTTTTATTCAGACCACTACAACTGGAGATAGATACACTGAGAACATCTGTTAACACCTAAATAGGAATGGATGATATGACCTGCCTCATCTCCTTTGTGCCTTTCTGCTGCAGCAGCTTCACTTAAAGATATGTACCATTTTTCCCTCACTACCCACTCCAGCAAAACTGGTAATAACCAAACAAGAAGAGCATCCCTTCTGCACTGGCCTTACAGCTCAGAAGGAGCAGCTCTGGCCATGGAAAACATTTCACTTAGATCTGAAACTCTCTATTTCCCCATCTCACACACCAATTTGCAGCTCATAAAATGTTATGAGAACTTCACCGTACTTTATGACCAGATAGGCAGAAAAAGCAAGAAGGTCAAATCCTTTTTTTTATCATGTTGTTACACTGTTCCACATAGGAAGCAAATGGATTTTTCTTTAACTAAAACATCCAGCTGTTGAATTTAAAAGCACTACCTTTGGAGTTTTCAAGTGGGCTGTGCTAATACTCCTATGCCTCATCAAAATCATAAATCTGACTTGCTGTCACTGTGCCCTACCATGCTCCATACCAGAGCCAGTAAAATAATTCCTTGGCCTTTGTATGTAATTTCTGACAATGCACTACATGTCACATCCAAATAGCTGTGCTAGCTCATATGACTCCAAAAAGACCCACACTGTTTTGAACACCAAGTCTATCACTAACGCTGATGTCCAACACATTTCATATGATAGACGTATCTGAAAAGTGATACTCAACAAAGCAGCACAAAGAGAAACGGAGACACACATTTCACTTGCCAACAGCTCAAAGTCAACAAAAAATCAAAGCTAAAATAAATACAGCAACGCACCATGCTACCATGTATGACAAATAGACCACACATGGTCTTATTCTTTAAGTCATGTACAGAAAAGCTACTAAATAAGGACAGAAAGTTTATCAATAAGCAAGGATGTGATTCACTTTATTTCCCACTGTAATTTTATAAAGTTATCTGGAGTGCAAAACAAGGATTGGTGGCAGTACATTAGGGGACAGTGCCTGGCTTTCTGGAATGTCCCTGAGGCCACAGTGTTCTACTTTGCCTGCGTTCTTAAACCTGAATTTTAAGGCAGAGCTCAGAGGCAGACACACTCTAGCATCCTCTCTCAGAGGGTGCTCAACCTCTCTATATGGCCTCCACTTCGTGAAGGCGAAGGCAAGTATTTCAAGTCTGAATGCCCTGAACTAGGTAGAGCATGATGCCAATACTAGAAGGGTTCAGGACACACTGCTTTTCTGTCTGAAACTAAAGCCCACTGATTGAAAGGTTACACCCTACTAGGATTCACTGAACAGGGGCTGTATCTGAAGAAATCAGGGGAGCAGCAGCGTTGCCTTCCTGTAGCACCTACTCAGCGAAACAGCACATCCATTTAATGATGCTTGTCAGCTTCCTTTACCATAAGGACTTTTCAGAACTTCATCCTTAATTTAAAATCCTGAATCCTGCCTTCGCAATTGAGAACTGATCATGGACTACCCCTAGCTCTGAAAACAGCCTTTGGTGAGACCAGCAATACGAAGAAACCTACTTTTGCATGAAATTCTGGCTTCTAGTGAACAGATTTGAGAAAAGCAGTATGAGTTCATCTGAACTTCTGCTGCACGGCCTGTTGGACAAATTTCCAGAGATAATGCCACCACTGTTTGCTGAAGTCTCACTTCTTAACTTGCATCTCACATATTACTTTAAAAACGAGTTAATAGGCAAAATTCAGAAGCAATGAACATTTTCTAAGCAAAGGCTCCTCCAAAACCTCTGAAATAATGGTCTCTACCCCGCCGCTGTCTTTTGGGGTTTTTTAAAATAAATGCACACAAAATCTGCTTGCTTATGTGCACCCACTGATGAACTAAACCCTCTGTAAAAGAGAAAAGCGGGACTGAAATAATTCTAGGTGAAGTTCCAGACAGCTTTGCTACATCACATCTTTTATTACCTATTTATCATGTTCAATATGCATAGTTGTGCATGTAAGCTAATACCAAGAAAGCAAACAATTGAGAGACATCTGTTTGAGAATGAAAACATCTCTTACTTCACAGAGTGAAGAAAATATTGTCTTCACAAAATTCTCTAAGTTATTTTATTACAGCAATTAATAGTGTTAAGTCTGCGCTATGTCACAAATGTAACTTAAACTAGAAAAAATGCACTTGACTCAGAGTTAGGTTTTTTTGTGGTTTCCTAACAATTTTTTTTTGCTATTGATTTGTAATATGATTTGTTATATCTAATCCGAATCTGCTTAGTTGTGTTTTTGTGGTTTTGCTTTTTTAAAGCCACTTTAGGAATAAATCCTGGACACTTTGCTACCAAATATACTTCTAAATAATGGTATGTCCTTTGTTCATCAATGCTACAATACCCACCAATGTAACTGTACTACAATAAGAAAAAACATTTGATTGAATTTTATAGCATATTATTATGCCAGAACATGCAACTGAAGAAGCGTCTTCCCTGCTTTAGGCACCTACGTTGGTCAGTATGAAGCATTAACAGACCTGAAATAATTGTTCCTGTATAGCAAAAGCATTACCATACTTTTACTTCCATTAGTCTCTATGTAACATTGAAATTTTTACCTTTTTTTTTTTCTTCATAGGACTATATTTGTTGGATACTTCCTTTACGGATCTAGCTGTAAAATCTACTCCTTTTCCTGAAATGCTTTAAAGCTCACCAACACATAGAAAAAGTTATATTTTTTCCAATATACAGAATTACATTTATTATGCTGCTCAGTTGCCTTTTGTTAGGCTCATTGATTGAAACGAATGGAGTGTAGAAGGATCAACTTTTTATGGAATACTGTAGACGCTCATTATTCAGGCTGCCTAGCTCTTTCTCCCACAGCACTAACAAACATGTGAATCCACAGGTACTCTGAGGAATTATTCTGGGTTTTCTAGGTATCTTTTCTAAAAACAAGTATTTTTGAATTGACTTTTCTAAATAGCATCCAGTCACTGTCAGGAGCCATACTCAGCCTGATTTAGTAATAAGCACATTCCCAAAGTGACAACCTTTTCACCCACACAGATGTGGACCACATGGGCCCTCCCACTGAAGACCTATCTGTTTCATGATCCAGGACATCAGTGTTAAAATACACCAGAGCCCAGACCTGCAGGACCTGCTTCTCTTCGAATGAACTCCAGCAGTTTACTCTCTCAGTAACAGGGGCTTGCAGAGCTAAAAAACCCTGAATCTGCTTTTTTGCTTTAGTATAGAATTAAGGCACCTCCTAGGTCTTGCAGGTCAACTGCAGATGGATGACGAACAGCAATGCAAGTGGATTTGTGTCATCCTACAAAGAACACAAGGGCGTAGCCATTATGCCATTGGTAGTGCACAAGAGGCTGCAAGAAAACAAAGAGGGAAAGTCATACCAACAACGGGCATGGTCGAGTTAGTTAACAGATGGATTTTATGATCTTAAAAGTCTTTTCCAACCATAATGATTCTATGATTCAATTCTATGAATTAAGTAGTATCATCTTAAAGGACCTATCAATATCCTTCACATGTAATTGATCTGCAAGTTCCTACACAGCACACACCTCTGTAGTGCTTGCTCCAATTACATCACACTTGCTCCTCTCAATTCTTTTGTCTTTGAAGAAAAACAGAGAACCTCTGCTGCCAGTAAAATTGTATGTGCCACTACATATGGCACATATTTGAATGAATAGAAAATCTGAAAGCAAAATCTATGCTAATTAGCCAGCTATACTGAGGGTAGGTAGGGAGCCTTAAGGATACTGATATAAATTAAAATAGAAGATTCAGCTTCTTTTGAAGACATTAAAAATTACTTCACACAGCTGACAAGTGTGAACATTTTCAGGTTTTTAAAACAAGTTCAACATGTCTAAGCTAGAAGGAGAATGCCATCTCCACCACAATATCACTAGTGCCATCCTATAAAGTAGATCCTGACCTATTTCATACCTTCTAAATTTCACAGCCTTTGCATGATCTAAGGGACTAGTCATTAAAAGGTCACTTCAGAAATAAATTACTTTCTCCCCCATGGCAAGTTTCTATGAAGTAAAAACCTAATGTTGACATATCATCACAGCAGGGTATTTATTGTCTGCTCCAGAGAGGGCAAGCAGGGCTATGAATCTGATGGTACTAATAGATGGCACACAACAGGAAACAGAAAAATGAGATAATTGAGGAGGTGCAATTGGGAAGACTTCTTTGTTACCACACTACCTTCAGCCATAAGGACAAATAAAGGCACAAAACAAACATCCTCTTCCCACTCCTTTCCTTCTCTACTCACATCTCCATAAAAGATGCTTCTGAAAATGGAAGTCTGCTAGGAAAATAATTAAAATCCTAATCATCAAGAGCAAATTATGTTTGAAACAGATGAGCAGGCATGGTGAAAAAATATTTTCAGGAAAGCAAAACCTGTTACTTTGGATAGATTGTCCTCATAAGAGCAAGGATTCTAGGAATTCTTCCCCTCCTCCTCCACAAAATTGGCGTCATTCACAGAACTGCCCTTTTAGCAGAAAAATAGCAAATAACACACTGATTTACTATGACCTTTTCCTGAATTTACTGAATTCTCTAACACCTGAACACAAAGATTTAGAGTGTGAAATACAAGCATTTAAATAAATTTCCTTTACTCTCACAAGACATATGAAACTCAAAAGAGCAAGATCAAAAGAGCAATATTATTTATAGCTATCTCCCATATGCTCATTCATCACAATGTTGATGGATTTACAAATTGAGTAGGCAATCTAATTCAACTAGAACATGCGTCAGTTTGAACAGCCGTTAGTCAACATCTTTCAGTTTGAACAACCTGCCAGTAGACAGGCAAAACGGAGGGAAAAATACAAATATAGGGCACAATCCCACAGACTGGGAATACTCACCACATATGAATTAAAACCAAACAACACTTACTTCAGATTTGGAGGACATATTTTCCTCCACATCAGAATCATTGGGATCTACAATATCATCAAATGGTGGCAGAGTAGGTGCCTTCCTTTCCAGTGCATCATTTTCAATTTTGACTTTGCCCACCTTGAGTGGAGGTCTGTCCTTTGTCTGTTTTTTGTCAGCTGAACAAGTAAGAACCAGAGGTGGAGCGCTAGAAAAACTTTTAAATAACAAATCCGAGCTACTTTTTTTTCGTTTTTTAGCAGAAGGTTCATCACAATCCAGAACAGACAGCCTTTTAGCGAGTGTCTTCCTTTCTTGCTGCTGCCCACCTGTTATGGTAAGGACGTGGGTGCTATCAGATTTGGGCTCCTTGGACATAGGTTCCTTGAAAGCGATCTTAGGAACGATTTTTTCATCTCTAAGTGGTTTGTTTTCTTTGGGTTTCTTAGATGATTCTTTGGAAGATTTGTTGCGTTCCCTGGAAGGTTCTTTGAAGGCACTTTTATGTTCTTTTGAGTCTTTAGGAATTTTTTCCTTGTGCTCCTTTGCTAACTTGTGAGTCTTTGAGAAACTGTTACTGCTGCTGCTGCTATTTATGTTCAGAATCTTAGTGGGGTCCTGGAAAAAGGGAAGATGCAAAGTTTTACTTACAAATAAAGAAAAGAAAAAGAAAAATAACCCTTAAAGCCCCAAAACACAGACACAAGATGGACAACAGGATTAATATTAAAAAATTGAAACTGCAGGTTGTAAAACAGAAATTGAAAACACGTATATAAGAACAGATACAAACTCCATCATTTTGGTCAATTTACCTGTTACAAAGTCACGGAACACGAGCCGTTACCACTGCTTGTCAACATCAGTAAGCAAAGTTAGTTTTCGTGTTAAGAATTAGACACATTTTTTAAGAAACATCTCAGGATGAACACAAATAGAGTTTAGAAAATGTTAACCATGACCATTAGTTATCAGGAGAAAAAAAATCATATGGAAAGATCAGGATATGAGAAATACTCTGTCAACAGAATTACTTCAGGATTGGAGCAAAATGTGCTCCTGATGATATTTCAGGCAAAGTTTGACTTCTCTGGCGTGATCCTCTCTTCAGCTTTTGCCAGATCCTTTTCCTCATACACAATAACACCTTTGGGTCCAGCCTGGCTATGGAAAACTTGATTTGACACACACCACCTCAGCCAAGTGCCTTTACAGAAAACTTCCTTTACTAAAAAGCTTTCTGTGCATTTACTGCTGCTGTCTCTGCTGAGTATTTAATTGCATTTCTTTCAATTCAACTGTTGGAAGTGAGAAGGGCTTCTGAGAGGGTGACGACTCAGCAGTCCTACAACATAGGGAAAGGCAGAAAGAGCAGGGCAGTACCATTCCTCGATCAATTGAATCTGGAAAGACTAAGTGACAAGGAAAGTGGTGATCTGCAGGTAGAACCAGCAATAAGGGAACTGAATCATGTGGAATAGGTTGAATGGGGTCCAGGAATTTTCAAAAGATGAGGATAGCTCCAACACTGAAGCTTTTACTAAAAAACCAGATTTTTATATTCACTTTTACTGAAACTGCTACCAGTGGCACTGAGTATCTCAAAAATACCTAGTAGCCCAACTGCACTGTTATAAACACTAAACACCTGTAGCACTCTCTCAGAAACAAGCTTCAGTTTTATACTGCTTCAAATCTGCAAAGTGATATTTCAATTTAGAGGAACCTATGGTCAACAAGTTTAGGTTGCTTACTTTCTTACGAGCTGATTACAAGCATTTCTATCCATATATTGCCTAGCATTTGAGAAGCCTATAGAAAGAAACTTCAACAAGTATATTGCATATACATACCCATTGATTTCCTTTACCTTTACCTATAACAGAGGTTTAAATCATGTGAAACTGAAAATACTAAAAAATGAAAAAAAAATCAAGTATGAAACCTGATGTATTGTGAAATTTGTAAAAATCCTAACTCTAGACATAGATTTATACTGAATAGGACTTCATTAATAATACCAAGCTGAAATAACAAAAAAAAGCATCCATAGTAACCCAGAAAATAAATGTATGTTAAGTTTCATTACTGATGAAAAACTGAAAGACTATTAGCCCATGAACCAAGGAAACCAACCCTTGAAAGCAGGATATTTCTTAAGTGCTACATGTCATGCCAGTATCACACCCACCAGCTCTCAATTGATCAAACTCATGACCAGCAGAACAGGAATAGCTTTAGGGAAATTACATGGGCTACATGCTTTCAGTATGCAATGATTCCCATGCTCACCTCTTAGTTGCTGGCAACCATACATCTTACAGCTCAAGAAGACTTGAATTACTCCTTCTTCGGACAGAAAGATGACAGCATATTTCAGAGGCTGGAAAATATTTAGTTATGTGCGTCCTAATGCACTGCTCTAGAACTGCAGTTTTAATGACATTCTTAGGTCGAAGGAGCAGATGATGAACAATACTTAAAATAAGGTGTTCTTCCAATGTAATTTTTATGCAAAGAAAGCATTATTGAAAATTGAAAACTATTGAAAAGGGTGCTAGTCAGTTTAAATACCACAAAACATGTCTGGGTTTGACTTATAATAATTTGGTTGGTTATTCATCCAAGTCCTTTCAAGCAAAGTGGTGCTCAAAGTTCTCTCATCTATGTAAGATGAGATATGAGATGATGAGACGATATTAAATCAATGTACAAATCCCTAGCTCTAGTTTATTTTCCAGCAATCTACATTGACCAGTCTACAGTGCAAAGAATCTGCTTTCTTTTTTTGACCTTTGTACTGGTTTTGGCTGGGACAGTTAATTTTCTTCATAGTAGCTTCTATGTGACTATGTTTTGGATTTGTCACCAAAACAGTGCTGATAACACACTGATGTGTTAGCTATTGCTGAGCAGCATTCACACAGCATCAAGAAGGGGGGATGTCCAGAGTTACGTTTTGTCCTCCCAAGTAACTGTTAAGCTTGATGGAGCCCTGCCTTCCTGGAGATGGCTGAACACCTGCCACCACGGGATGCAGTAAATTAATTCCTTATCTTGCTTTGCTTTGCATCATGTAGCTTTTTCTTTCCTTATTAAACTGTATTTATCTCAACACACAAGTTTTCTCACTTTTCCCCTTCTGATTCTCTCTCCTATCCCACAAGAGGGGAGTGAGAGAGTGGCTCTGTGGGGCTTAACTGCCCGCTGGGGTTAAAGCACAACTCTCTAATATATGTCTGGCTGTCTAACACTGCCACAGATTTACAGAAGTGCAGAGGGAAAACATATATAGCTTTTCTTCCCATTATTTAATCACTATTTTACTCACAACATGGATGGTATAGCAGCAGTGCACTGGAAATTGAAGGACCAAAGAAGGACATCGCCAGCTTCAACCTCCACAGGGACTAATTTTAAAATTACTATCCACAGAACGGCTCTGAAAAAAACCCCACCCAATAAAAAAAAAAAAAAAAAAAAAAAAAAAAACAGAAAAAAACAAACCAAAACAAAAAAAAAGCTCCATATGTTGTTTAATGCAAGACCAGCCCCAAAGGCTGACATATGAACTAATTATTAATGCTTTTATCTTCACATCTTGTTCTGTCATGCCAGAGCTGTAAGTGTTGCCCTGGGGAGTAGGAGTAAAATATCACAGAATCAAAGAATCACAGAACGTCAGGGATTGGAAGGGACCTCAAAAGATCATCTAGTCCAATCCCCCTGCCGGAGCAGGAACACCTAGATGAGGTTGCACAGGAAGGCGTCCAGGCGGGTTTTGAATGTCTCCACAGAAGGAGACTCCACAAAGCTCTCTGGGCAGCCTGGTCCAGTGCTCTGTCACCCTCACTGAGAAGAAGTTTCTTCTCAAATTTAAGTGAAACCTCCTGTGTTCCAGCTTGTGCCCATTACCTCTTGTCCTATCATTGTTTGTCACTGAGAAGAGCCTGGCTCCATCCTCGTGACACTCACCCTTTAAATATTTATAAACATGAATGAGGTCTCCCCTCAGTCTCCTCTTCTGCAAACTAAAGAGACCCAGCTCCCTCAGCCGTTCCTCATAAGGGAGATGCTCCACTCCCTTGATCATCTTTGTAGCCCTACGCTGGACTCTCTCCAGCAGTTCCCTGTCCTTCTTGAACTGAGGGACCCACAACTGGACACAATATTCCAGATGCGGTCTCAATATTCCAGATGCGGTCTCATCTGTGTGCCATTAATAAACTAGAGGGAGTTCCTATGTTTCTTATTGGTCTCCCTATGTTTCTTATTGGTCTCCCTATGTTTCTTATTGGTCTCCCTATGTTTCTTATTGGTCTCCCTATGTTTCTTATTGGTCTCCCTATGTTTCTTATTGGTCTCCCTATGTTTCTTATTGGTCTCCCTATGTTTCTTATTGGTCTCCCTATGTTTCTTATTGGTCTCCCTATGTTTCTTATTGGTCTCCCTATGTTTCTTATTGGTCTCCCTATGTTTCTTATTGGTCTCCCTATGTTTCTTATTGGTCTCCCTATGTTTCTTATTGGTCTCCCTATGTTTCTTATTGGTCTCCCTATGTTTCTTATTGGTCTCCCTATGTTTCTTATTGGTCTCCCTATGTTTCTTATTGGTCTCCCTATGTTTCTTATTGGTCTCCCTATGTTTCTTATTGGTCTCCCTATGTTTCTTATTGGTCTCCCTATGTTTCTTATTGGTCTCCCTATGTTTCTTATTGGTCTCCCTATGTTTCTTATTGGTCTCCCTATGTTTCTTATTGGTCTCCCTATGTTTCTTATTGGTCTCCCTATGTTTCTTATTGGTCTCCCTACTATGTATCTTAAATTGTTCCAACAGAAGTGACTCATTTCAGTGGTTTTCAAGCAGGCGAGAGCTGTGAAATAAGTCCTGGGGCACAGTAGTATTAAAACCAATAGGAACTTGAGATCTTTCTTGCTTTTTCAAATTTAAAACCAGCCTTCTTTCTTCTTTCTACAAGATGGAAGCTGGTGTTTTCATAGAAATCATAGTACAAATATATGACATACTTATGATACAGACATACACATATACACCCCTGACATGCTGAGAGCTACTCTTTCATTAAAACAGCCAACCCATTGCTTTTATATCTGTATTCATTAAGCAAAAAAAGTATATTATCTTACTTTCTAGGTTTCTGCAATGACTCTACCAGAAGCTAACATTGCCTTAGAAGAAACAGCAAGAGGAACATACCTGTAAGACAGAAAAAAACCCAAATACCTTCACTGGTAAAATTATATCAAACCTAATGATGAATGTAGAAGGCTGGTGAGGATGAAACATGACTAAATATTCACATCATGTATAACATAGATCTTAAGGAAAATCAGCATGTACTTTCAATCCATTTTCTTATTTATCAAAATCTAACAGTATGTTTCAAGGTTTGTTTTCCTTCCTACGTTAAGAAGTGCTGCAAGGAGTAAGAGTGAATGATGTATTTCTGCTAAGAGGGACAAATAAAATAGTCTTTTCTCTGTGAAACTGAGATTATTGGGTTTTGACAGGTAGTAATACCATAGATTACAGTTGGGTTGCTTCAACTAATATTTGATGTATACACAAGTGAATGTTATACTTTGATACATTGCATAACAAACATCAAAAAAATGATACAGAGGATTATAGGCATGTTAAAATATCTGTAGATGTTTTCTTTTCTAAGCCAAGTAACACCATGCATGTATAATACTTGAAGATATTTAACACCCCTTTCATAAAGCAGTACTAAGAGATCTTCAAAAATAAAAATTTTTGAAAGCATGATAAAAATCTAAGGTTTTTACCAACAGAGAAAAACTATGCTACTGTGACTGCTGCACTCAATTCCTGCTCAGATTTTGGCTAACACAGATTATGCTTAGGCCTGATGTATGCTGGGAGCAGCAAGAGCATCACTTTGGCAGGACAGGTGGCCATAAAGACTCAACGGGCCATTATGCAGCCAGGATCTCCTGCAAATTGCTGTCTCCTGCAGCCATCAACTCTGTCTGACCATTTCACCAGAATCTGCTAAATTATGGAAATTATATAAACCAAACCTCCAAGCTGGAAGTTATAAAACATCAGCTTACAAAAAAAAAAATGCTTTTGAAGTGATCCATCAGAAGCTGGAATGCTGACACTTTTGAGCTTCCCAGTGGAACAGGAAGGATGAGCAGTCACACCCTCGACTAAGTTGTTTGGTGTTTTTTTCTCCTAAATGCATCAATTCAGGATTAAGCGTTATAGGTAAGTTATGACATCTCATGACTTGAGTGGTGAGTAAATGAATTCATCTGATAGACTAGTCTGGGCAAAGGAGACTGAGCCCTGTTTGTTGTGTTTGTCTGTTGCATTTTTTTAATAAGCTCATGAAATAAAGTTTAAAACACAGAGTATGTTGTCCTGTAAATTTCAGAGACCCATATGGACCGTGACAGTTGTTCAACAAGTAACACATTTGCAGACTAAAACACTTCTGTAACTACAAGGCAAAAAAACCCCAATAAATGGTATTGAACATTCTGTATAACTTGCAGGGTCAGGTTCTGACTTCACATCACAAAATGTAATTTCCAATTTGGTTGAATTTGAGTTTGAATAAGCAGTATTCTCTGGAAACCACTTCAAACCTCTCCAGTTGCTGACAGACATTAGGAACCTAATCAGCAAATGAAGCAGCTGTGGGGAGGAAGAGGTAGTTCATTTGATTTTATGGAGCCATTAAACTAAGCACCCACTGTGCTGTACTCTGGATTTAGTCTACAAATTTGGTATTAGTGACAGAAAAACATGCATTATTTTAATTTGTAATAAAAAAGCATTTCTTCAAATGTTATGCCTATTGAAATAATGTGCCATTTTAAGCCAGTGGACTGGAATTAGTCTCAAATATGTTTTGTGCTTTAAAGGTGAAAAAAGGAGGAAGCTATCTAAAAGGAATCAGTTTCTCAAGGAAAATCAGATTTCCGTTGAATACAAATGTTTGTTACTGAATAAAAACACTAACTGATTTGTGAAAAAAAAACCCAAAAAACCCAAAAACAACTCACAACATTTTGAAAGCCTCCACAAATACTGTAATATTATTCAACTTGCTAGCTGCATGCTGGAGATTAAGTTACCTACTGCTAGGTCCTATCACAGATTATTACTGTATGGTACATTTACAAAGCTTGCTACACTTCAGCTTGTCCAGCCCACTAAACTGTTATGACCAATGACATCAGGCAAATTAGAGGCAGATAGAGAATTACAAGGCTCCCTGGTTTGACAGAGAAAGCAGCAGAAAATTCCCAAAATCATCCAGAACACATACTTGGAGTACACACATCTGCAGTTTTGGTACAGGCAACTTACATCAAAGAATTACCAAGATCTTTCTGCAGCTCTTATTCTAGAGGCATATCTAAATGATACTGAGACTCTGAATTTGTTCCATCACTGGGATTATTCCAAATGACAAAACCAAAAATCTATTTACATATTGGTTGGAACTGTCCTCCTCCTCAACAAACACAAAAACCCTAAAGACAAAAATCCAAGAGTTCTCAACTCCCAAAATTTATGATTAAAAACCCAATTTTTTTTAATACTAAAACCAAGGTTACTTTGTGTTTCCATTTCTTGAAAACAGCTGATGACCATCAGTACAGCAGATATTTACACATCTTTCTTTGAGATACAAGAACATCTGCTCATTAGTGCGTGTTTTAAGATGGACAAGAGGAGACAAAGATTGCTGGGAGAAGGAGAAAAACTGAATTTTCACACAAATTGGCAAGAAACAGTGCATTGATATGTCAGCTCTTCTCACTATTAGAAACTCCAGTGAACAGCACGCAAAATTGAAAAAATAATGATTTCAAATAGACAGCATTGCAGCTGTACTATTTTGAAACCAATTAGCTAAAAAACATTCTAGTACCTTCACTGGCACCTATTCTCACAATCATCCTTGTTCTGCATTATTTTCATGTTGCAAACAGTAAGTTCAGAACAAAGAAATGTCAAAACCTATTATGAATAGGCTATATAATGAGATTGCAAAAATAACTAAAAGTATTTTTTTTCACAAGTTATTTCCCAGGGAAAGCACCACTAGCTCAAGTATCCTCTGACAAAGTCAGTCTCACCTTTGGCCCATGAGACGATTTCTTCTTCACTTCAGAAAAAGACAGGGAGTTATTGGGAAGGCTGGGAAGATGAAGGCTCTGTCCTGAAGAGAATGATGTGCCATCTGACATTACCATCATCTGTTATAAGGTGGAAAGCATGTCAGTCAAACATTACAAACAGAGTCTCACCTGCGTAAGAATTAGCAAATCACATTGGCAGAAAAATATAACTTCTCCAACAAATAATATCCATGTTTCTTCTCAGTAGGGGATGGGCTAATGAAACCACACTGTCATTCTCTATTTAATGAGCAAATCGCATCTTTCCATTTCCATGCAAATACAATGCATGCCCCTCAGAAAATGGCCTAACTTGTCCTACTGTGCCTGCTACATGCCACGGCACCCAAGTCCTTAGCACTCTTTCTCTTGTCCTGAGCAATACTGAGTACAGTTGAAAGTTCATCCCACCTGCAGTACAAGGTGGGATAAATCCCATAAATAATTATGTGCTGCAGTCTTTGATTTCAACTTAGTGAAGGAAGATTGCAATGGGTATAGATGGCGTGGTTTGGGTGGCAGGGGTGGCCTCTGTGTGGAGAGTCCAGGTACTCCCCAAGACAGACACAGCTGAATCTAGCCAGCTTCAGCAGATCCACTACAGGACACGTCTGAGTCCCTCAGGCAAGATGGTGGCACCCCACAGAAAACAGGTTTAAGAAAGGACAAATGTCAAAAATTGTGTGAACACCAAGGTCAGAGATGGAGGGGAGGAGGTATTCCAGGAATGGGAAAAGGTATTTCCCTTCAGTCCATGGAGAGACCGTGCTAGAACAGTTGTTGAAGGACTGCAGCCCATGGAGGGGCCTCATGCTGGAGCAGGGGGAAAGTGTGAGCAGGGAGAAGCAGCAGAGAGGAGCTGTTATGAATTGACTACAAATCCTATTTTTCATCCTCCTGCACCACTTAGGGAGGTGGAGGAGATAAACTAGCCCTGAACAAAGGAGTGAAGCTGGGCATGTGAAGGTGGTGTCAGGTGGTGGCGGTGTTTTTGTTTCTCATTACCCATATCTTTTTTAATTTGCAAAAAAATTACATTATTTTTCCTTAAGTCTGTTTTGCCCATGACATTAACTGGTAAGCATTCTCCCTGTCTTTATCCTGACCATAAGCTTTCTCATCCTATCTTCTTCTTCTGTCCTGCTAAGGAGATAGAGTAAGTGACCAAGTGTCTGGGTTGGAGTTCAGCCCCCAGCCAAGGTTAATCTGCCAAAAAGATACACTGTAAAAACAGCCTGAGGTTTTAATGTGAAAGAGTACAGCTCCAACTTCAACTTCTAACTTCAAGCTTCTGCTTTACCTGTAAAGTATAAACTGGATGACTGGTGAGCAAGCAGTGTTTTTGCTGTAACAGAGTCCAGCTCCCTTTCTTGATTTTAAAGACTCTTGATTTTAAAGATTTTTGAAGTACAAACAGATCATTTCCAGAGACCACAGATAAATCAGCTGCCACAGAGCAGTAAAGATTCAAGCCTTCCATCTGAGAGAAACTTCTGCTCCAGTGCTGCTGTGCCTCGATTCTACTGCTTCCTAACACAGCTCTTCATTTATATGTTGTTTCCAAACCCTAAATGCTAGAGACAGCCTACCTGCTGTCTGACAAGCCCTGCAAAGCTGGAGAGAAGTTGCAGAAATCTGCATGTACAAGGAAACATCTCCCTCCTTCCATAGGTTCTCAAGCACAAAGTCCCACTTGGTTTTGCGGATGCCCCGTGTGGCCACCCTCTTCACATGGCCAAGACATCCTCTGATACTGGGGACAGGGAGAGACTGCTCCATCATATGCCCCATGCACATTACATTACAGGAGGCATGGAAAGTGCAAAATTGGAACATCAAGGATGTAGATATGTATACTCCACATTTTACCTTTCCAAGTCAAGATGGTATTTACTGGCTACAGCTTCTTCAGAACAGGATTTAAATTAAAAAAAAAATCATTTAAACACCACTTCAAATAAATCTTGTTGCAGACAACTTAGTTCAAAAGATCATGTCATAGCCTTGAGAATATTAAGGGACATGTCTTGGAAATAAAAATCACTTTATTGGCCTGTAAGTTGAGTGTTACTTTTCAACACTACTGCTAGAATCCAAAGGTGAAGGAAGAACACAATAAAGTTGTTTTACTTCCTTGACCATAGGTTCATGTATTAAAAAAAATAAAAAAATTAAAAGTTATTTATTCATTCAAACATTTTGTGAAGATTCCACACAGGGCACATAACAAATTCTCTCCCCAATTACTCATTTATATTTCACAGATATTAAACCAGAGCTTGCCAGGAGTCAGAACTCAAAAATCATCTGGGCAAAAGCAATGGTGTCCTTATAATCATGGTAATGCAATTCACAATAGCTAAATTGCTATTGACAATAAGTGATGTTCTTTAGCCTGTCAAACACTTTAACCTCAACCTGCCAAGGGTTTTGATTGAATTCAGCCCAGATGAATGCAAGAGAAGGCAAAAGCTAAAATCAATCAGAATCAGGGACATGGAAAATTTGTAGCCACATGTGCATACCATAAACATGTGCAACAGGTAGAGAAAATTTAAGTCCTCTCATATCTCACATAATTGTTTCCCCTCACAGACTAAGTCAACTGGGTGGTTAAGTAAAATAGTTCACCTTTAAATTAAACTAATGCAATGCTTCAAACCCACAAACGTCATAGAAAACACCAATTTCCTTAAAATCAAATCACCTTTCAGAAAAAAAGTAGACAAAGTTATCTATTAACTGTAGAGTTTAAGCAGGTAACTTATTGACACAAAGTAGTACTATCCATACATATGACAAAGAGACGCATATTCATGTGGAAGAGAAATATATTCAGGAGGATCGGGGTCTGCCCTACCTTGAAATAAAAAGTGAAGAAACAAAAAATTTTGTCTAGGATTCTTTCTCCTAGGGTTGGAAGCTGACATTTTCTCCCTGAAACACAGAAGACTGACTCATTAAAATAAACTGAGGTTCAGCCACTGCATAAATTTTCTTTTTAAAATTTGGAAACATTCCAGTTTAGAAATACTTATATATTCAACATTATACAAAGACATTCTTAGAAAGCTGACATTTAAAAAAATTGTATCGTCTCCTGAGATATCTCAGTTTCTGGGCAAGTTTTTGAACCACTAAAAGCTTCAGTATTACAGACTGTTTAGAAACAGAATTACTGTCTACAGAAGGAACTACAGGGCTTGGATGAACATTAGTACCATCTGAAGTCTGTCAGATTTGGTAAACCTAGTTCCACATAAAGAAAATAAATCTTACAGTTTTAAGAAGACAAAATCTGGAGATTTGAAACAGTGAGCGCTCTAAACATTTCATTGTATTGGATACTGAAGCCTGTAATTTCATTATGAACCCTATGAAAAATGGCAAAATTGTAGATTCAAAATTTTACTGTGATTAACAATGTATGCAGAAAGACAGAACTTAAGTTCAGACTACAGACTTTACTGTCTGTAAAGATGACAAAAGACCAAAAAAACTCAAGTAAAATTTATTATTTGGCCACTATGATAAAAAACACACCTCTGTCTTCTCAACTGATCTCCGTCAGAAAACAGATATGGTCCTTATTAAAATCCCCTGTATAAGGAAAAAAAACATAATTTAACTTTATTATTTGAGAAGGAACAGAAGGCAAACTAAGTAACCCTTCAGGAATTTTTCCAAAATGTTTGTTTTCTTTGACAAGATTATCTATGTAAAAAGCCCCTACATCACAAGCACATTTTGAAATTGAGATGCATTTCACTTTTGGCTAAGTTTAGGAAAGAGACACCTATACATCCAGTTAAAGTTTACTGAAGGAGCTCAGCTGACAATTTTAGCAGCTTCTGCAATGGGTAACTCACTAATGGGAGGACTAAGGGCAGACACAGAAACACACACCTGGCAGATGTACTTCTTCAACCAGGTTTAAGACCAAGTCCCTGTCACATTGCCACCTCGGAGGGGGCGGTGGTGAATGCT